TGTGCACAGCCATTCATCCTTTTTCATCTGAGCCCATCCTGTGCACTGAGCAAGCCCGAAGTCCTGCTGGCAAAACGTAAAAATTGTGATTATTGTAATATAATATGGATGTATAAAGTTCCTGCTTAGAGTTACATGGTCTAACAATAAACATGTCCTAGCTTCTAGAGTAAGGAGAAATACTAACAAAAAATGGCTAAAAGTCACTTTACATTTTTCGCATTTTTTTCCAAAAGTGTCTGCTTATAGTAGCGTAAGCTTTATGTGCAGCTTAAAGGTAAGAATAAGTATGTGATTGATGTAACCAAAGGTCTTAATATGCAGATATTCAGCATAATTTAAATAGCCTTAACCCCTCCGGCGTATGTTATAATGGGTAACCACTACGTGTAGTTCTTCTGATGTCCTCAGGGGCTACCAAGCCTTAAAACATAGGTGTTTTGTCTTTGAGGTCTTTGTAACAGTCCCACAAAATATCCTTATTTACAAACTTCAAAAAGTTTGAAATTGTTCTGCAGAATAGAGGTTGTCTTGGTAATGGTGGTATGTTTTTTCTTGTATGTGTTGGGTAGAATTGTTCAAAAGGTTAAAAGTCTTTTTTTGGGGGGGTGCAAGGTAATATTACTTCAAGTGTGTGTATGTATAAAACTACCCTTCCTGTGATGGCAGATTCTCAACAGTCGATTTCACCAAGAAAAATGTATTTCTCAAACTTTGGTTTTATTTCGTTAATGCTAATTTTAATTACATTTTGGTTTAGCTTGTAGTAAACAGTAGGCATTGCTTAAGTTGTCTTCTGTTCCTGTGTATGTTTTAGGAACATGACAGTGTTTTGAATGGAAAGCAGAGGTAGATAGAGAAATTTGACTCCCAGAGCTGGGATTTAAAAAAACCCATATATCGCAGAATATACTGTAATAATCTGAGAGATAGCCACACAGACTCATGCCTCGGGCAGCGTGCAACACGTGTGTCTAGAGCCTTCAAAAGGCAACCTCAGTAAAATGAAGAGCTGAGATTTCATGATACATTTCTACTTGGAGAAGTTTTTGTTACAAAAGCCTGTAAAATGCTAAACTCTTCAGGCTTCTCTATTGATACGAGTGATTGTGAGCTGTCTAATCTTAACTCTCTGATGTGTTCTGTAGGGAGAGTTAGAGAGGCAGTGTGAGTTTGTGTATGTACTCTTGCTGGGAACAGGAAATAATCTTATCCCATCTAGAGAGAGTGGATTTTATCTGGTACTTTTTTCATTAATACTGTTCTGGGTTGATTCCTAGCAGTCACAAAAGCAGATAATCGTGAAAAGCCGAAATACATATTTAGGTGCTCATAAACAGTTCTGTGCTCTAAAAATGTTAAGAGCGATGGAAAATGTAAGTGTTGGATGCACGGAGTTACCATCTTGGGTGTTTGTTCTTCATTTCTCTGTCTCGATTACCTATCTAAGGAAACTTGTCTGTACCAAGTGTGAGGGTGTTTTTTTTTTCGTGGCTCACCTTAGTGTGCTGCTTGTGAGGAAACCAATTCTTTCTTTGTTGTAGAGCTTAGATGCTGAATTAAAAAAAAAAAAGTATGCAACCTGAAAACTCAGAATGAAATTATCCAACTGATACTTCATTCTTTAAGCTTGTCCCCTCTACTAAATGAGACAGAGATGCTGGTAAAAATACAATACTCGTGTGACAGCAGAATAAAAGTATGTTGTGTTTCCAGAAACTTGACTTTCAAACATTAACCTATTCTAAACACTTAAGAAAAAGCCTGTAGTAAATTATGTTCAGAAGAGGATGCAAATGTATTTGTGTTCCCTGTCCAGGTCCTCTCTAAGTGACTTCTCCAAGGCAACAGAGCAAATCGCTTGGATAGTCACGATTAAACTCCTGGTGTTCTTAACTTTGTCCTTGGGAGCCCCTGGGTTCTCAGCCCGGGGTTGCAGCCCTTCCGAGTGGTTAAATACAATGGAAAGGTTTGTAATGGTGCAGCTTTTATCTGCACGGTTCAGTTTGATGAAGCTGGCGTCGTGCTATGGAGGCGAATTTCTACATAGGGGGGGAAAAAGGAAGGAACAGTAAATCATGCTGTTATTTTTCAGTGGCAGTTTTCAGTTTGTGTGTCTACTTGTGCTATAAGTAAATAGAATTTTTTTTCTTAAATAAAAAAAATGCTCTTCTAAGACTATATTTGCAGGTGTGCAGTACTGACCATTTTGTCTAGCTTGTCAGTCAGTCATCTACAGCAGTCAGGCTTTTTAAAATTTGTTTTTTTTTTTAGTAATAGCCTGGAGATACAGTTTTAGTTGCTTGTTGAAGATGGGCATGATCAAAGAGCTTTCGCTGTAGATTTTTGAACTGATGAAATGACTGATTGATAGTGGGGGGCGGAGGTGACAGCTAAAGTTTTAATATTGGAGAAGAAACAACTAGAGTTTGAAAATCACGCCTCTCTCTTCAGCACCCTCAGCAGTGAGGGTATTTCAAATTGAGAAGCACCAAGACCAAAGGAACTTAATTTGAATATAACCTCAAAACCATCCCCATTCTCCAGTTCATAATCTACCCCATTAGCAGCTGGATGTTATTTGAACTAACCTGAAATTGCTCTAAAATTAATATAACATCTTTAATATTTTGTTGTTCAAAATGAGCGAGAGATGATTGTGTGTCTTTCAACTGCTGGATCGATTTGTAAGGCTGGGGCTTCAACTTCAGCTCTGCCGTGACTTGTGTGCAGGTAGAAACGTACCTGCAAAAATCTTGATAGCTGTGGAGTTGAAGCCCAATAAAACATGCTAATATCCTAATATTTTACTAGGAAACTGAAGTATTTTTGAGGCTTTTTTTTTATATCAGGCAAAATAATAGGGCAAACGCGTTACCCTTTATGTTTTAGCTCTTGGTTTAGGACTCTGGCTCCTGAGTTTTTTGGTTCGGCTGAGCAGCTCCGCTGTCGAGTGTTGTTCTTGCCGTGACACAGGCAGTGTGAGGAGCAGCGTATCTTCTCGACCTCCTCAATTCGTGACCGGGCACATGAGCTTAAACTGCCTGTGATTTGAGTTTCCGTTAGTGCTCTGGAGCTCTGGTGACTGGTCTCACCCCCCTCCCAGCTCCACCGTGTTTGTCGTGTTGGTGTGACCTCTAGCAGAGATGGTGGACAATTGTCTGGGGCAGGTAACCTTGTCATGTTTGGCTGTAGCAATGGAGCTTGTGCTTTAGATGTTCATAAATACGATGGAGAGGAGGTATTTCCCCCGGGGGAGGGGGACAGAGAACTGGAAAAGTTTGTACCTGTTCTCTCTTCTTCCCTTAGTGACAGTTTGTATTTTAATCCAGATTACAATTTTAGGTCTTTTTTGTTTTCCCTGTCGTGTCTAATAGATTTTCTTTCCAGTAGTATTTTGTAGTTAACTTAAGCATTTATGAAAAATGCCAAAAACAGGAGAGGAAAAAAAAAATAAACCCCTCCCCAAAACTCAAACAACTAGAAAACAACTATTACTTTTTCCTGCCACCACCCTTAACTTTCCGAATCTTTGAATTGTCTTCTTCTGTGTCAGATTGTAGTTTGTAACTCTCTTTTTTGTTGTTGTTGTTTTTGTTTTTTTTTTCTTTTGTAGGAGGGGGTAAAGAGCTGAAGGGAATAGCTTTTTCAAAACTGGTAAGTAGTACTTCCCAGGGCTAAGGTGTTTACCTAAGAATAGATGACAGGAAGAGCTGGCATCCATTCCTGGAAAAGTTTGATGTTTACTGAAACTGAAATCCTATCTGTTCTTATATTCAGAAATTAAATCTTAAAAAGTAAATATTACTGATGGAAGCCACATTCCTATAAATAAAGTCGCTGGAAGCCTGAGATTTGGGCTCAAGGGTCTGTAAGTATAGTGAACATTTAAATTCATGTGCTCAAAAGTAATAATAATGTTAGAAAAATTTTCTGTGTAATGTGAAAAATAAATTTATTTGAAGGGATTTCTGGCACAGAAAGACTTCTGTCTAAAATTCTAAGTTATTCAGAGTCATTCCATACAGAAGTTATCTGTGGCTTTTGTGTGGGTCCTACCTTTTGTTTTTATACCTATATCTGTATATATACGCACACGCTTTGTCGTCTGTCCTTTCCAAAATAGCTGTAGTTTAAATAGCTTTGTGATATTTTAGAGATTCTAATGTGGATTGTGTTTAATTGAGATAATAATAGAGAAGTGTTAATGCACTTACATGATTATTTTAGAATTTAAGGTTTCATTCAGCCTGAATATTTATATAGTATATAAACATCTACTGCCTTAACTGCGGTGCATTGAGGTACTTAATCTGAGTGTGAAATTTTTAAGTCTTGGAGCAACCAAGAGAAATCTAAGGGATTATTTATAACAAGTACGTGCCAGCAAGAAATTGGATGGAGGACTGCCGCCTCCAAGAGTTGAAATCAGTCCAAGAAATGGCAAATTTACCTTTTGCTCTCAGTGTTCTTTCTGGCTGAGACTTGGACATACTCCACAGTCCTCTGCTTTCCTTTTGGAAATCACCGATTCTAGCATTGAACGAGGCATTTGCATGTTTTCCTTTTAAACACTAATGGGATGAAGGATGTTTGCCGACCAACCCATCCATGCAATTTCAATCATCTTCAGGCTTTTTAATTAAAATAATTCCACTGTCATCAGAGTCAAGTGGAAAATGCAGTATGTTTTTTGATTAATCCAAGGATGGTTTTATACCTATTTGGGTGTAGTATTCTAGATAGTTTATAATGCCACTGGACTTAAGTTTTTAAATGTCTTGAAGTTCAGTCTTAAAAGAATAATAGCTCAAAAATATTGAAGATGATTCCACACACAAAATGTGTGTGACCATTTGCTTACGTAGCTCTGTACCTGCTTTCAAAGGAAATACTAGCTATATTTAAGCAGCTGACCTCATAGCTATTTCCAGACATTATTCTACATAGAAAAAATACAGTCTAAGATTTGTTGGATGTAAGGAATTATCACTTTTTTCATTAGCATTGGATAAATGTTTAAGGTACTTCAGGGGAATTTTGGAGAGCAATAACTTTAGATAGTTATTCCTGCTTGGGAAGGGAAGCTACAAGTGCGCCTTCTATAATGTTTCAGTTTTGGAGGGATACAACTGAATAATAACTATATATATTTCATATTAAAAAATCAGCAACTTGGCCGGATTTTTAAACGAACATCTTATTTAACGTGTTCTCCCATCTTACCAATAATTTGGATGTTCAGAATGCTTCAGAACCTTGATAAGTTCCCAACTCTCCTTTGCCTGTTTCCCCTTGTCTTTAAGCGGTGACGATGGGTACCTCGGCTGGGATGGCACGCCAGATATCTGGTATCTTACCTGTAATTTAACAAAGGTTCTCATAATTGCTTGTGTGGCTCCTTGTTTCATCAAGGGGAACGCTGGTGCTGCTAGCTGACAAGTACAGCAACTGGTAGAGGTGATTGCAGAAGATGATTCTTTGCTGATGAAGCAGTGTCAGCTTCTCTTTGCTTACGTACCACACGCTTGGTTTTTGAAGAGGAGGCCTTCTTCTATGTTTAAAGTGTGCTTTAGTGCAACTTTGCCAGCAGAAGGTAACTGGAAGCAAACGAATACTGCCAAGTGAGTTGCTCTGAGGCTATAAATGAAAATGCTGGAGGAGGGCAAGTAGGAAGGAGTCAAGGGTTAGAAAACCTACTTTTAAAAAGAATGTCAAAAGTTAATCTTTTCTTGAAAGGTTCGGTCTTAGGAATTGAAATTAATTCTTCAGGATGTTATAATATGGCACCTATTTCAAATTTATATATGGATTGAAGGAATAGATTTTAAGGAATCTTAATCTGTTAACATTTTAAATTATAATGAAAGAAAAAGTCTGAAATTATTACAGGTATTTTGGGATGGAACTGAGTGTTTGCTATATTGCTAGAATTGTTTGTTTGTTGGGTTTTTTTGCTGACTTGTGGCTATATATGTTTGTCAGTATTACAGTGAATTATATTTGTGCTTGTCTACTCTCCTGTAGAGAGTAGGGCTGAGCAGCCCCTTGCTTCTGCAAAGCATCTTTTTGTTTTACGTTAATATTTGTTGTTCAGTCTTTACATGATTTTTATTTTTTTACAGAAGTACTGTGCTATTTTTCCCCATGACCCTAGTACTGGAGTTGACAGTCACACGTGTTCAATTTATGGATATTGTTTACATTCTCAGTTGAGATAATTGTCTCTTCTGCTATTTTGCACTTAGCTTTAAAGTTAATATGTAGTTATAAAGTGATATTGGCAGTTCATCATGAGTGGCTTCTCCTTCACTGAAGACACACTAGGAAAGGAATGGTGGTCGTGTCTGCCTGTATCTTTACCCCAAAATAGAATTTTCTAGGTTTGTAAGAGAATTCTTGCCTCTGCACTGGATTCCATGTTTCATTAGCCAGTCTCCCCCATGGTTTTCCGAAGAGTGATTTCTTTTTGAAACTGCAGTGGTAGGGACTTAATGCAGGCTACGGTTGTTCTTGTCACTGGGTGGAAGTAATAATCCCGGGATTCTGTTTTCTCATTACTGTTTGTGGTAATAGAACAGGGAACTATATGTAATTTCCAGGTATCCCTTGATACAAATTACAGTTTTAGAGAGTAGAGCTGGGTTTGTTCATCTCTGTCACAAGTGGGAGAGGCCCTTGCAGAAGGTCATTTCTGTGTTGGCTCGAAAGGCTGATCAGACCTTTGTTATTTAAATAAGTAACTTTAAGCTAACAGCGGACAGCACTGACAAAACAATGAGTTTAAATATGATGCTTTTTAAACCCTCTTTGTAATCTTCCCTTTGTAACATATTTCTGTTTGGAAAGAGAAACAATTAATTTAAAAAAACAAAGCATCACAACCAGTTTTGTTTTCAGGAGTTCACAAACTTGTCCTTCTCAGTTTACTGTAGTGAGACAACATTAAAATAAAATTCTCTTAACTTATGGGAATGGTTCTCTTTTCACAGCCTACATGTCTAATCTAAATTCTCAATACCCTTTTAAAAACGATGAAGTCCCATGGTGAAGGCCTCAGAGTTGACTACAATACCTGTGCAATAATTGTGAGCAATTTTTATTTTAAAAAAAAAAAGAGAGGAAAAAAGAAGGAACTATTTTAACACTTGAGCAGTTCTTTAATATGTGGTGTCTGGATGGAAAAGTGACTGGAAAGATTGCTATGTAATGTTTTCCGCTGGTTTTTATGTGTATATATTTATAGATGTTTTTACACAGGTTTCACTGTGCTTTGAGCATATGGGATAGAGACAGGAATCTTTAATCCAGTTTCAGAAGCTGGTACTTTTAACATATTTCTGAACAAAAATCTCTTGTCCAACTTTCAAGGCTTTTAGAAATATGGCTGATAATGCTTTTCTGTGTCAGAGGCTGGGGGATTAACTTGTTTGCAGTATAAGCGAAGATGGTAAACTCATACTCGTGTTCTACAAGTAGAATTCCAGGATTAAAAGGATTTTAAAATTAATGATTTTGAAAAAGTCTTGTGCTGCTTTGTATCAGTCTTGTGTTCCTTCAGAATAGCTTTCAACTGAAATGACTATCTCAGCACGAACTTTAAGCAGTGGGTTATTAATACACTGATGTGGTTCTGTCATTTTGCGTGCAGAACACCCCATCTAAGAACAGCTCTTATAATGTCATGGAAGTATGTTAATGCAGTACATTGTGTTTAACAATTTGTGGCTCTTTGGGCTGCAGAGTTTTAGTCTCCAGAATATTTTCTCATCTGCGCAGATTTTTAAACATTCTCGGTAGTTAAATTTTCTAATTTAATATGCAGCAGCAATAGGATATTGGTAGGAAATAGCTGCCTGCAAACTAAGATAAGGGACAAGTATGTCAACTTTGGGATATGTGGGAAGTAACAAATTTGGCTAAATGACTCCAAGGCAGGCGTTTTGTACAGTCTGTAGATTTCGGATGTTTGAAAGATTGTTTGTGTTTAGGCTCGAAAGCTGCAGTTGAATGTAGTTTGCTACTGAATTCCTGCTCTGCTATAATCTCCTTTCTTGAAATTGACTTTTCTCTTTCACTAACCAAAACAAAACCTTTATTTATTTTTCTCTATAGCACTGGTCTTAAAGAGGAAACCAGAAACTGAAGGCACTAGAATCAGTAAAGACACTTCTAGAGAAAGTGGAGAAGGTAGAGAATGGAGCTGCAGACTCTACAAGAGGCTCTGAAAGTGGAAATTCAGGTTCACCAGGTAATTTGTATTCTTTATTGCTTTAAACGTTGAAGTAATAGCAGCATTTGTATCACTAATAGTGTGTAGCATTAAGTAATAGCGCTACAATTATAGTAATAATTGCTTTATAAGCTTGAAATTAGAATTTGAAACTCTACATTTTGACCCCACCACCTGTTGTTTTTTAGCAAATGTGAAAATTCTACATACCAGGCTGTGGGTGGGGAGGTTTTTTTATTATTATTATTTTGTGGCAGTGATAAAAAACATTCTGAAAACTCTGTGTTCAGCAACTTCTCTCTGGAAGGTTTTTCTGACGTTCTGAAGCCAATTTCAGTATTCGATTGGCAATGGAAGAATACGATGGAGGAACTTTCAAGCAAAATGTGCGTTATGCTGCGTAGTCTCCTCTGATGCTTCTCTTCTGGCATGTCTTCTCCTTTAGTACGTTCTAAACTTGTAATAATAGAGTTTTGCTAACCAAAACATTGTAGTGCTTGGACTCAGAAATTTTTACACATTGGGTCTTTTTACTAGTAGCTTGACCAAAGCTCTAGGGCAGTAGAGTTGCAGTTTGCTAATTCTGTTACAATACGAATGAGAAATATTAAAAATAATTGTAACAAAAACTGATTTAGGAAATATAAGAGGACCTATGCATATTAATTCCTGGAATAAAATCGTTAGAGCCATAAACACAAGAGAAGCTGCCAACTTGAAATGTTAAATTTCTCAATGAGACCTTTTCTGAAGACGGTTCCCCAAGTATTTCCGTTGGCTATCTGAAACTCACAGCTGTTACAGTGGATAAGAAAAATATAGAAGATAGGTTACGCTGATCAGTGTAGCCCCTCTTATAAAATGGTGAAGATCTTTCTGAATTAGGTGGTGACTTGTCTAAACAGGTGTTCCATGTGACTCGTTCAGTAGTTGCTGAGCGTGGTGCAAAAACTGCAACGGATGGATTAGTAAAATGAAGCTGCGTCTGCTTTAACGAAAACCAAGAAAACTTGAAGCTAAAGATGAATTTCTGGAACTACAGACAACTGTTTTGCTCTCCTCAAACTGCAGGGCCCTTGCATTCAACACTTAAGTGCAGTTTTGTTTTGAGGATAAGGATATTCAGAAATTACTGGTGGTGTTTTGCTGCAGACGTTAAAACATTTAAGACCAGTAGTATTTTTTTTTGGTGAGTGTTGCCTGCTGTGTGGTGATCAGAGTGCTAGTCATACGCACGAGAGGTAAATGCAGTTATATAAAAGCAAGTGTCTTCATTCCCCTGTATGCCTAAGCTAAACAAAACTTTCAAGACTGCGAATTTTGACTAATCTTTAGTGTCTGTTCATAATGGTGATGATGAACAGGGATGAAGACTGGAAAGTGTCCCCAGATGATTATTTATTTATTTTTCAAGAACTTCAAGGGCTTTTGACTGTTTGCCTTAACTTAGCCCAATTGTCGTTAAAAGTGAACTCTGCATTGAAATAAACTATAATTAAATTTGGTTTTAGGTGGTGAAACTAGACAAGCCATTATATCAAAAGGTTTGGGTTTGATTTTTTTCAAGATACTGTGTATTTCCATAATTAAGGTGCAGAAGTCTAAACGTTTACAGTGGAAAACAACACTTGCATCAACACGTTGGGTGCTTCAGTAAACTTTTATTGATTGGTGCACAAGTGGTTACTGCTGCGCTTCTCAGATGGCCACTGGTAGAAACTGATTTTTGGCACAAAAAAAAATAATCTTCAAGTGAAATGCTTGAACTGTGGTATATCTTTGAATTTTGTAACTTAAAGGGATACAATGTATCCCTTCCTTGGGCAGCACCCAGGACTTGTGGAGGAGTGTCTCCCTTGTCATCTTTTACTTGTCTAATAGTTCTTTGCCTGAGGACTCTCTGAAAAGGCTTGTAACGTCCCCTTGTAAGCGGCAGACAGGTGTGTGATGAGCGTACGGAGCTCAGCTCTGTGCTGCGAGCAAAGCCTCCCAGCTTCCTGATGCAGCGTGTCCCTTGTGACTGCTTGCAAACTTGTAGAAAATGATGCTCAACAAGATCTTTTTTTTTGTTTGTAGAATGACTTCTTGTTTTCCTGCTTGTTCCAGTTCACCTCTAGAGCTGTGTCTGAAGCTCTGATGCTGCTGCTTTGGCAAAGTGTGTCTTAAACTACCAGTAAGGACCCAGAGAATTGTTTAGAAAAGCTACTTTTTTGTTTCTTTTTTTTTTTTTTTTAGTGATCAAAGAGTCCTCTATACATGGAAGTTAGACCAGGTCACTTGCTATATCAGAGTACAACTTGAATAGTCAAATATCTTCCCTGTCAAAGCTGTATTGCTTGTCCCGAGAAGAGATGGATCAGATCTAAGTAGTTCATTCTGCTACTGTGTTGACTTAATTAGGGTTATTTTGAAACAGACTGCTCTTCATAGATTTGATCACAAGAGGTGTTAAAAGAGTTATATTTAGCTATTCACACAGAAGAGTTGGGTTTCATGGATGAGTCCTCGAGCTGATGTGTGGAAAGAACCTAAAACATCCTTTTCCTTCACTGATTTTGCATCATAAAGATCGGTTGGTTTTAAAATGTCTTAAATTTAGCTTGTGTTTGGGATCAGTGCAAAAGAACATTTTCTTGTGATTGGATGACGCAGCATTGCGAGATCCATAAATTTAGCAATACTTTGTGAACATTGTAGAGTCGGTAACTGTATTGTCTTATGACTGAGTCTGTACAATCGCTTTGTATAAAAACTAACAGGTTTGTTGCTTGTCAAACTCTGATGTGGCAGGAAGCACGGAGGAGAAATAGGCTAAACATGTAAGCAAAAGGGTAACATGGCACCTTAGCTCCCATGACGCTGAACAGCAGCATCAAGAAACAATCATATTCAGTGCAGATAAATGCCAAGTGATGCACTTTGGAAAAAAAAAAATCCTGGTTTTACGTCTGCAATAGCAGGCTGTGAATTAGCTCTTAACGCTGTGGAAGGAGTGGTTGCAGTACGGAGTACTTGATGGTTGCGTGCACTTTGAAACTTTGTCTTCAGGTGACAGAGTTGAGCTAGAGAAGTCCAGGAGTCTTAAAGAGTGAACAAAGCAGTGGAGTGATTTGTGCATGAGGAGACCTTCAGGGGGAATATGTGCTGTGAAAAAAAAAATAGGGAAAAGATTAATAGAGAAGCAGTCATAGAGTCATAGAATATCTGGAGTTGGAAGGGACTTGTAAGGATCGTTGAGTCCAACTTGCAACTCCTCTTGACTCGAGACAAGACTGTTTTTCCAGAATCTTACTTGCCCTTAACACTTGTGTTATCAAGAGGCAGATTCAAAAGAAAAAGGAGGTCATTTTGTGTAATAGTCCTGTGGTTCGACTTCGGAACTTCCTGTCACAGAATCTTGAGTAATTTTCCTGAGTTCAAAAAGTAATTAAGGCAGCTCAGTGGAATGCAAGTCTGTTACTAGCTCTTAAACCTAAGTCGTGGTTCTTGAAGACAACAGAGGTGTAAATTTCTGAAAGATGGCGGATAAGGCTCTCTTGTCCAGACATGCTGATGCCTCTGTTTGCTGTTAGCTAGTACTAGAAAGAAAATGCAGCAGATAAACCTGTGGTGTGAGGCAGAATTATCATTGTGTTGTATTTGTTTAATACATTTTTAGGATGTGAAATAAACGTTTGGAGAGAATTAGTTGACAAAGTCTGAATTCTCCAACTAGTGTCAATGCACGTGGAATGAAACATGTATTCTTCTTACTTGCTTTGTCATTCTGTTTCTCACTCCTTTTCCTGATTGTTCTTTCTTCTTTTGTTCATCACAGACTTTACATTGTTCTTTGTGTATGTCGAAGGGACGTAGCAATGTGATGAGTAAATATGGCTGTAACAAAAAAAAAACCAACACATTAGGAATTCTTTGTTTACATTGCCCCTTCATTCTGGTCTCTGGTGAGAGCCTGGTGACTTTTTCCTTGCTTAGCAATAGGCAGCATTCTCCTGCAGCTGCCTGAAGGAAGCGAAGGAAGAAGAATAGTGAATGGTGACCATCTGTCTGCGCTCCTTTGGATGTGGAGGGCATCTCTTCTACAATGATCTCAATCTCTCTCGGAGGGAGAAAAGTGGCAAAGATAGTTCTGAACATGGGTTTTCCGTGTGGTACCAGCCAAGCCAACGTGCAGGCAGACCCGCAGCACTTGAAACGGTCTTCTCTGGAGTATACAAACAGTTTTTGTGCCCGCAGCGGTTGTCTGTGATTTGTGTTTCTTGTGACTGCAAGCAAAGAAGGCAGCAGTTCTAGAGGAGACACAGCCATTAGATTATCTTACCCAGCTGCCTTAAATTGTCCTTAAAAACCATCACTTGTTCCAGAGCTCTTTAGGAGAAGGAGCAAAAGTGGTGGCTTAATATGGTAGTTTTACTACCTTAATGTGCTTGGAAATTATTTAATACTGGATTTCAGGCCTTGCTATTGAAAAGCTGTAGACTAGGTATTTTGATTTTACAAAGGGTCTTCAGAAATGTGCTATTTTAAACTGTTCAACAAGATCCGTCACGAAAAATCTTCACTGTACTGTTGCATTTTTTTTCTTTCTAGAAATTGGTTGCCCAAATGAAGCAAGATCCACAGGTAACTATCAATTTTTTTCCTTTTTTTTTTTTTTCATGTTTCATTATTTACATTTAAAAAACAGGAAATAACAATGCATGAAGCTTGAGAATTTTAGATAGTTCTTGATCATGTTTTTCATTGTTAACACAGTGTTGAGAAGAAAACTATTATGTCTTTAAACAATGGCTGCTGGATAGGTTAAAACAAAACCAAAATGTTTGCCTTTATGGAGCCTTTTGCCTCATATTCTTAATAGTCTAAATCAAGTGACTTTTGGAGGCTGTGGTGCAGCTCAGATACGTAGTAAGTTTCTGATTCTGTTGGAAGCTGCTCTTTATAAAATCTGCCGTTACCAGAATTCACTGTTTTTGAGTATCAGTAGGTTCACAGTTGTACAGGAAGAGACACAATATTCAATCCAAGAAATTTTGTCCAAATAAATAATGTGGCTTAAGGCAGTGCCCACATTGCCTGTCTTAAGTATCCAGCTTCAGCGGTGTCGTGTCCAAAGAGTGGGCACGTGGCCACGGGATGCTTCAGAGCTCCTGAAGCTGGACAACTAGCCATCTTGTGCAGACAGAAGTCATCCCTTTCCCGACGACCGTGTGAGGAGTCCGGGTTTTCTTGTACAGCAGCAGTGAAGAACTCCGGTGTGCTGAATGGGGAGTTCCGGGGAGTTCTCTAACCAGTCTGGAATGTTGAGTAGGGGGGTAAAGGCAGCTCACTGGAGGCTTACTATGAAGTGCTTCCATCCCCATACAATACTAAATGTCCTGTAATTTTCTGAGCGTAATTTTCTGAGTTTAGGGGAGTAGGAGGACAGCTTTTTCTGACAGTCGAGTAGTTAGACCCTGACAGGGGAGGGATGAGTAGGGTGGTATTGGAAAATCTGCTTTTAGAACTTCCTTTTTCTCATGAGACTGGAGTGAGGTCTGCTACTTTCACTAGCTGGGCAAGTCTGCTAACGATTAGCTGGCAGAGCCGTTTGCTTTCAGTTCTTATCTGCTGAAATCCAGGTTGTACTGCAAGCAGCCATGGAGTTCCTGGAGCCAGGATGAGTAAATCTGGCTCCTACTTCCAATGCTTTTAATGCATTTTTATCTCAGATTATGAAGGGAAATCTAGAAGGGAGGATGACTGGTCAACATCTGGTTTTGCTAGAATTGTGCATATGTTGGAGAAGACTATCTACGAGCTGAGATTGAAATGCATTTCAAAATTGCATGGAGAAATAAAAAAAATTGGAATGTTGTCCTGAGCATGAAGTTCCTATAACAATATTAGTCCTATATTTTACTATTGCTGTGTATCACAGCAAATCTGTGTAACTCAGTATATGGAGTTTACAGGACAGAATCACAGAATATTTTGGGAGAGAAGGGACCTTTAAAGGTCATCTAGTCCAACCCCCTGCAAGGATCAGGGACATCTTTAACAACATCAGGTTGCTCTGAGCCTTGTTCAACCTGACCTTGAATGTCTTCAGGGATGGGACTTCTTCAGCCTCTCTGGGCAACCTGTACCAGTGTTCGACCACCCTCACTGTAAAAAAATTCTTCCTTATATCTAGTCTAAATAGCCTAAACAGAAATGAGAACAAAAGAAATAGAAAAAGAGAAAAATACAGGGAAGTTCACTTCCCTGTGACATTTCTGCAGAGCTTCACAGGCTTTAAACTGAGGATAGGTTTTTATTTTATTTTTGGTAGGAAAGAATTAGTCCTGGTAAAAAGTTATTTTCTGACTGCATCTTTATAGTGGTGCTTATAGCTTTCAAATCTTAAGTGCTACTGTAAGCAGAGTGCTGCTATGAATGATGTGTTAAGGCAAATGTGATTCTCTTCAATACAGTCTAAAAGATAAACCTATGTGGAAACGAAGGCTCGGATATATTTGCCTTCATTTGACATGTGTGTCAATTAAAATTTAATCAATAGATTTGCTGGTGGTTTGCACAGTCCAATGTAGGATGATGTCTTTGTGTAAGTGGCGTAGGTGAGAACCCTTTAGGTAGCTCCCATAGCATGTTACTATATACAGTACGATGCCATTGTGTTACACATTACCAAGCAGTTCTCGTTTAATTTGTAAACTTGATGAACTGTGCACGTGTGCTGTATGATGTGGTAAGCGCTAATGGATGTTTTTGTGAAACCTTCCTTCCAATCTGGGCTCTCTGAGTGCTTATTGCCGCACTCAGTGGCTGAAGTAAGGCTTTGTTGAGCCTCTTGAATGTTATTGGCTGTACATCCAGAGGTGCTGTATTTGTAGTACATTATGTAAATTAAAAAAAAAAACAACCTCCCTACTACTACTCTATGTTAACAAATGGAATATCTTTCTCACAGATATTTTTTCTTTCTAATCAGAATGCTGATTTGAAGAAACAGCTTCATGAACTTCAAGCCAAAATCACAGCTCTGAGTGAGAAACAGGTAGGGAAACAGAGATGTATTTTTAACACCCCTTTCTAAAGATGTCTCTTTTCCCAGCTTCCAAGATAGCTGCTAAATTTTTAGGTGCAAAAATAAGTACGGTCAACCAGAGGTTTTGGATTTTTGTTTGATTTCTCAACAAAAGATAGGATGGATTATTGTGAATCTATCAAAGAAGCCACTTGTGTAATCAGTGGAAGCTATAGCAACTTTTCTTGCATTGAAACTAATATTTTGTATTAAGGGAGCTGGGAAAATGAGTGAATTTTGCCACTTTATTATTATCTTGAAACTTTTTTTATAAACTGCACCATTCTGGTTTAGGCAAATCTTTAGTTTTTGTCTTAGTTGGTCCACTCTGTGCTCCTGGATGAGTATATTTGAATTTTTTCTTAGTGTCTGGACCAACTAAATTCCTGTCAGTCATGGTTACCTGGCAGGCAATTTGGAAATTATTTATGTGGTTGTACCATGATAAATAACACCACAACTGTCTTATGTTTGCCATTTGGTAGGAATTCTCTTTGACAGGTATAAAATATGAGTAATAATTACATCTGAAAGCTTAACAGATCGTGGAACGTGAATACACATCTTCTGGGTAACTAGTGCAAAAAATAAATAACATTGAGAGATCAAAAAACCTTGTTCTCAGTTATATTTTAAAAAAAAAACAACCCCAAAACAGCGACGCTCATGAAAATACACATATACCCCGTCCCTCCCCTCAAAAAACCCCTCAAAACAAATTTATACTGACTTAACCAGTCCCTTGATTGTATTGTTATTGTGTCTATAATGGAGCCAAATTAGGTCAATGCGTAACGTGTGCATAGGTGAGAATATAGTTATGCATCAGTGTCATATCTAGATACTTGCATTAATCTGTTGTTATCTGCATGAGTTCTGTCTTGAGAATGGTCTTTCCTAAGAAAAGAGGCAGACAATGATTAACATTTATCTAGAAATTTTGTTTACTAAAAATAATGGCCTGTTTTAGTGGTGGAACAGTGAGTCTAGGAAGGACCATGTAAGGATAATAAAGAAAATGATTTTTTAATGAGAATACTAATTCAACAAAACCCGAGGTTTTGCTGATGTGGTGACATGCCTCTCTTGAAGATGATTTATTCTTTAAAAGCAGCATGAGCCTCTGCATGTGGCTATGTCTCACAGCAAGGAGCCTCAGAATTCTCTGGTAAGCTCTGGAGGCTCATGGTAATTTCAGAATTAGTTTGCCTTGATGCCACGAGGGAAGTTGTATTGACTACCCGCTCACGAGACAGTGAGAGTGAGACAGCAAGTGGAAGGTAAGAAAGAAGTTAGTGTATCTTAGTGTAAATTTCAAACTTGGATTCGTAACTCCCTAAGGTTTTCTGTTACAGAGTGGTCTGTACTAACCTGTATTTTACATCACCCAGCACCAGAAGTGCAGCTGGGTCTTTGCTGCTGAAAGTTACAGCTCAAAATAGAAAAGCACATTTGTTCATGGGACGAACATGGGCTACGCTTCCAAAAGACTTTGAAAAACAGTTTTCTGACTTCACTTCCACCGGACAGCGAATACAGTCAATATGAAGCCATAATATTGTTCAAGGAGGATAGTTGCTAAAATTTAATAGTTGTGGCAGATGTGAATTTTGGAGAAAACCCTCTACAACTTCCCACTGCAGAGAAGTACTCCCCTCTTATTTGTAGGAATCTATTCTGTAAACATCTGCAGCTTAGCAATGCAGAGTTGTGCAGCATTTTAGAGACTACAACAGAGCCCTTTTTTTTTTTTTTGTTCTTGCTTTCATTTTTCTTTAGGAAAAATAATTATTAGAAATTGTTTTATGGGGACAATATTATCTAATTTTCAAACAGCGTGGAGAAATGTGCGGTTTTGCGTAGTAAATAAATGCTTTACATAGTGCAGTGCATTTCTTAAGGAGATGTGTAACACGTGTGGTATCTGTACTCTTGCTTAGATCCCAGTTTTATGTCTGAATGAATAGATTCTGAGGGCCAAACTCCACTGTGGACCGTTACGGGAGGCGTAATTGTCACTGTTTGATAGGCTTTTAACGAAGGGTGAAAAACTGAAGTTCCAATCTGTGTGCTGACCCTGCCTGGAGACAGTGGTGTGAAGCTGAGACTAGTGGTAGAGAGGCAGAGTGCTGAAATATTTCTGGCTTCTGAAATACTGTGTCAGCCTAGTATACTTTTTTTTTCCCCCCTTTAATGTAGTTGCATGAAGACTTGTGCAAGAACCAAGCCAGTGGTGGGTTAGCTAAAAGCTTTTAGTTGCTTTAGGACTTCTCTCCGTTCCCGAAGCATTGTGAGAGTAGTGCCGACACTTGCTGCCAGTCGCTGCAGTGGTTCATAGTGGCTTAGGTTTCTTGCTGAGAATTAATGACAGTTCTCTTCAGAAGTTTGTGAAATTGAAGAGATCTGGCAAAGTACAAAAAGAAAGCAAGTAGGCTGTGCAGCATGTAGGCTTGAACCTTCAAGAAATTTGTTAGCTGATGCAGAGTTAAACTGTTACAGCATAAGGTATGTCGTACACTCATATGTTTTTTGAAAATGGGAAAGAGGTGAAAATAAATGCTTTGATTTGTTTCCCCTGAGAGATGATGGAGCAATGTATGCTGATTGCGTTATCATATGGAACAGAAACTTCAAAAAAAGAAAAAAATCTTATTTGAAGATAATTTGCACTTAAAGGGCAGTAAACATGAATCCTTCAGACGATTATTTTCCTCTGATAGTCTCTTTATGTTATTGCCATGGATTTCTAAACTGCTTACCATATTTATCAAATCTGTTGGCAATAAGGTGTATTCAGTTTAACGGTCTTGTTAAAGCTACAGGTTTAGTTTGGAAACCTGGAATGCATTGGTTTTAAAACTGGTTTCCTCTCTCTTCCACCACCCCTCTCTCCGATGACGAGAAGTCAAGAGTAACTTTTTGCAAAACGGTTTTGATTGCCAAATCTAAGCTTGAATTGTAAATAAGAATTAATTCTGTTGCTGTGTAGTACTGGTTTTTGTTACCTTTTCACATCTTGGTTAGAAAGTCGTAGTCCTAGCACTTTTTCCTTCACTTTGTGACTTTGTGTCCTATGATGGTGACTCCCTTTGACATTCTGTGTTGTAGACTTTTACCCACAATTACCTATTGCTACTCAGGAAACCCAAACCGACCAACCAAACCAAAAACTACCCAAACAACAGAACAATCCCATAAAGAATGTATTCATAAATTTTTCCATGAGGAATATTACCAGTGTGTACTTCCATTACTTTGGGGAGTTGGGGTGGAGATTGTTACGAGTGACACTAGGTAGAGCACAGCTGACATAAATGAGCAGGAGGGATGTAATCTTGAAGTAATGCCTTTTTTCCTGCTTCTTTCCATCCATAGTTAATTTAAAAAATCATAGTATGATCTTGCAGATGTAGCATCCTTGAGCATGTATCATAACAGTGCTTTTTTTCTGGAGGAGGTCATGTTTATTTGAATAAAAAAAAATAAAGAAGTAGGCTGCAAATAAATGCTTTTTAGCAATATGCCAAATACAGTGGACTTTCTACGTCCGTCCTTATCACAGCTTCTTGGACGAGTTGAGGCAACAACTTTCTGTCTTAAACGTGAGAGAAATCCTACAGGAGTGATGGTAAAACGGAGGTAGTGATAAGTATACAGTAAAGAAATCTCACGGCTTTTCCCCCTATATTTGAAAATAAAATGAAAAGGTCTTACTGTAGTTGTGGTGAATCTTCAGGAAAACAGCCTTGTGGAAGCTAGACTTGTATTCTAGTGCATTTGCTCTTGACATGTAAAGAATAAAGTTACTTTGTTGTTACTTTTGATTTCTGAAGAGCTGTATGAACTTGTAGGAAAAAGTACTCAAAAATAGTTGTTAGCATAGGGATACTTGCTCTTATATTTTTTCATGGGGGAAAAAGTTTAAGACACTTCACTGGGAAGAGTAGTTCAGAAAAAAAAAATGCCCACTATAGAAATGAGCTTAACTCTGTTATTGCAAATAGGCAAATCTAGTGACTTCTGCTTGTATTTGAAGTTTACAGCAAATTGAGGTTATTCTAAATCTTTTATGTTCTGGGTAAGGCTTTTAATCTTGCCACTAAATAGCACATAATGGGAAAGAGGGTTTGGGGTAGAATTTAAGAATGGTAGTGTAATTTAACCATGGTTTTCTGTAGTTGAATAAATGTAAACATATGATTTAGACTGACAAAGGAAACTTGATATTTAAGCCTTCAAAAGCTGTCAAGAGTAGGTTGAAGCATTAATGTTGCGATATTTACAACAGGTACCATAACTGAGTAATGAAAAGATTGTTAATGTGCATAAATTCATCCTGTGAAACTGTTCTTCTTGAACGCTTGTCAATCATAGTAAAGGTGAATTTTTTACGGAGGCTTTTTGAGCACATTATCAGAAAATTGTACCTGAAACATATTCCATCCTGTTTTGTAAAGAGGAATGGCAGTGTTTTGGTGAGAGGAAAGTAAATGCAAGAAAACTAGAGAGCAGGAGGAAAACTAGGTACGGTTCATGGGTAGGAAAGAGCACCTCAAAAATCCTTCTGCATAAAAAGGTAGGCAAGCCATGCGTGTGTGTTGTAGATGCATCTAAGGAATACTACGAGAACTTTAGGGCTCCAAATATGGAAGTAAATAATGAACTGTCTTGCTTCTCCCTCCTGCCAGTTTTGCCTGGAGTTTCTAATCCCACCTTTCCCCGAGATCCATCAAGGGCATATTAAAATGCCAATTATTCTGGCACTAATGGAGGAAGTGTTCATATGGCATATTTGCATGAGTGGTAACTAATAACTCGAGGCAGGTGATGCTTAGTTTCAGTTGCAGAACTGTACGTATCACACCCATCTTTTTTTAAATAAATGGCATGAATGGGAAAGATATGCTAATGTCCATGTAACTGGAAGCGTTTGTTTATGCCAGATATTTTTAAAGCAGTCTTAAAATACA